GGGGGGGGGGGGGGGGGGGGGGGTCCTTGAGGGTGGATGAGCTATCCTTGTACTTTTCCCAGCACAAGATCACCTTCAAAGGGAAGAAAGCTGAAAAGGTCGCAATGACCAAAGCGCACATTGGCAGCTTGCTGTACAATTCAATGGAGCGTCAACAACCTCAGCAGCCCCCGCTAAGAAATGTGAGGCAACAAGTGACCTCAATATCACTTTCCAAGGTCGAAACTGACTCGCAAAGTGATGTAGTAGATCAAGTTGTTGGTTCAAGTCCGTGTAGCTTAAGTAAAGAATCCTCACCGGCGACTGATTTTACACCAGAACCCTGCGCGGAAACATCAAGATATGGATGAAAGCGGACACGGTTCGAGAGAGACAATTATGTTAGTTGGGAGAAGATAGTTTTTTGATATATAAATTTTTCGAAAACTGTAAACAATTTACAGGGCTTCTGATAGATCGCGGAAAAAAAAAAAGTCAAATTTCGCGGGATTTTTTGGGGAAAAATCGCGGAAAAATCGGCCGATTTTGCGGGAATTTCGCGGGAACTTTCGGAGCAAACTTGGCCGGAAAGCAATCGGTAAAAAAAACGGCGGATTTTGTGGTTATTTTCAGGGCAAATTTCGCTAGAAATTGAGCGGTTTTGCGCTCAACAGACCAGCGTTTTTAATGTTTTTCTAACAGAGGTCATCATTTGCTCTTTCAACAACAATACGCTTCAGAAATGAACCAATGGCAAAGCCTTTTACATCATGGCTAGTGCCCAGATTTTCGCAACATAATCTACGACTGGTAGTTTCGGAATGTTGTTTGCACGTTTCAGTGACGAAGTTTTGACATAAATTTGCGAGTTTACGGCAAGTAAATACCCCCAGTAGCTGAGACAAGTTTCAAAATTGCTGTACAGACATGTATTTGAGAAGATTTCTACCGAATTTCGAGGTATTTTGCGTGTTTTTGTGAATTTCGCGGGATTTCCCAGATTTACCTGAATTTCGCGACTTCGCGACGGCGCGAAATATTAGAAGCCCTGAATTTAGATTAATCTTGACTGGTAGCTTTCCTTGTATATACAAAATAGAAGCGACATGGAGTAATTTTTTTCCTTGTAAAAAAACTGTGACCCTCCCCCGGTTGAGAATAAAACAGGTTTGACCCTCCCCAATTTGTAAAAAATTTACTAAGGACCCTGATCCCCTCCGAAGCCCTGGCCCATCTCCCCCCCCCCCCCCCCCCCC